TACACATGTACCTAGAATAGAGAATCAAGAGGCTAATGAGTTAGCACAGATTGCATCTGGGTATAAGGTGTCGAGCGACAAGCTTAGAGACTTTGTCTAAGTCTGAGGAAAAATGGTGTCGAACCTATTACCGTCACCTAGTGTGTTGACCTCAAAGGGTGAGGGGGCAGAAATCTTCGACGAGGTCCTTGAAATTTTGAGGTTTTCACCATCGATAATTTAACGAAGTCAAATTGGCGAAAGCCAACTGTGGAATACTTGGAAAATCCAGTCGGAACCACATAGAGGAAAGTCAAGTATAGAGCCTTAAGTTATGTTCGTATAAGCAACAAATTGTTGAAAAAGACCCCTGAAGGTGTATTACTCAAATGTTTGGGTGATACGGAGGCGTACCTAGCAATATCATAGGTTCATAGCAGCACTTGTGGAGCTCACCAAGTTGTCCAGAAAATGAAGTGGCTACTATTTCGACAAGGTGTCTATTGGCCAAACATGTTAAAAGACTACATTGACTTCGCTAAAGGGTGTTAGGAGTGTCAAAGCCACGCGAACATCCAGCATGTCTTAGCCTGTGAATTGCATGCAATCATTAAACCCTGGCCTTTTCGAGGGTGGATGATGTACATCATAGGTGAAATTCGACCAACGTCATCAGAACAACAAAAGTTTATCCTGGTAGGAATAAACTATTTCACAAAATGGATAGAGGTTGTGTCGTTGATAAAAGTCGATCAAGAAGTTGTGGTGGAGTTCATTCAGAAATATATTATTTATAGGTTTGGGATTCCTTAAGCCATTACCACGGACCAAAAATCATTTTTGTGGGTTAGAAGATGAAAGAGTTTTCAGCTGAAACAGGATTCAAGCTGATCATGTCCACACCGTACTACGCCCAAGTGAATGCACAAGTGAAAGCGGCTAACAAGGTAGTCATTGGGTTGATCAAAAAACATGTTGCTAAGAAACCTAAGAATTGGCACAAAACGCTAAATCAAGTTCAATGGACTTGTCGAACATCCCCCAAAGAGGCAACAAATTCAACGCCTTTTCATCTAACATTTGGCCATGACGCTGTTTTGCTGGTAGAAATTTGTTTGCAATCAGTAAAGGTACAACGAAATAATGAAATTCTGTCGGAACGATATTTGGGCATGATGTTCGACGAGACAGTCGACTTAGACGAGAAAAGGTTAGCTGCATTAGACGTGCTATTGCAACAAAAAGTGCGAGTGGCGAAGGCATACAATAAAAAGGTTAAGGCGAAAACCTTTGCAGTAAATGATTACATTTAGAAAGTGATCTTACCTGTGGATCTAAAAGATCGAATGTTAGGAAAATTGTCACCAAATTGGGAATGACCATTTCAGGTAATCCAAACATTCACAAATAATGCCTATGAAATTCAAGAAATGGGCATTGATCGACGAGTCTTAAGAGTAAATGGGAAATATTTGAAAAAATATAAACCTATGCTTTAAGGGATTCAAATTAGAAGAAAGTAGAACATTTCATTAATAATAGGGGCCAAAAGTGGCATACAACCAAGATGGTGGACAAAATATTGAAAATATCACATTGTCGCGACAAGGAAAATTAAGATGGAAATCTAGACTTAAAGTCTTCGAAGAGAGTCCTCTCATAAGAGATCCTGCTATTGAGACAGACACTCATCTTCACCAACTGAGCAATTATTTCTTTGATTTGGAGGGCTTTCTCACCATGGAAAATACCCTTGAGGACTTCTTGGTCAACGACATCTTGAGACAGAAGGTCCTCAGACGAATCCAATGAGGCCTTTTGTTGCTTGACTTCAGCAATCATTTTGTTGAGTTCATCGATCTGGTGGGAGTCAAAAATTCCCTTTACAAAACATTTGGCTGTGCTGCAGACTTCAGCAAAACACCAGGAAAAGGATCCTTAATCCAGGTCGGGCCAAAGCATCGATCCACGAAGGGAACCATGGATGAAATGAAGGTAGTGGTTTTGAAAAATAGATTAATGTATTTCATAAAGATAAACTCATTGGTAACTTCTTGGTGAGTGGTTAATGCAAGCCCCATGCCTTCGGTTGGTCGACCCTGTGTCAAATACCTAATTCGCTCTGTCACCAGAGCACCTAGTTAATGCTCAAAATTGGCATTCAACCAATATTATAATAACCTGATGGGGCCCAACAGATTCAAGGCCTTAGGGGTGGCATGAAGAAGCTTTAGCTTCAGAGAAGCAATGCCCAAAGAATAGTAAAGTGATGCCAGCAGAAGTTTCCCTAGGGAAACCTGTCGACCTTCGTGTATCTGGGTCGCCAAACTGATATAACTCTTAGCTATTTGCAAAGAGCCAGGGCAGAACACGTAGTAAGAAAGCCAGCGGGTTAAGAAGGAAATGTGTTCCATGTCGGATACCTTAGTCGAGTCCTTGCCATGGTGGTCTTCGATGTAGGACTTAAGACTTGCACGGTTGAAAGAGAAGGTGTTCTTAGTTGGAAGTGTTAGGTCGAAAGTTTCTCCCAGAGGAGAAAGGCCAGTGATGGCTTCCACGTCGAAGAGGGTAGGCGTCAGCATGCCACATGGGAGTTGGAAGGTGTTAGTCGAACCTTCCTAAAAATACATCAATGCAATAAGCATACAGGGGTTGACCCTATGGGCTTGTCTGGAGATCTGAATGGCGTCGAAGATGCCAACAGTTCACCATTGCTCTTGACATTTATTTTGAACCTTGTTGAGCCATGCCATATAGTCTTTGTTGCCAAGGGTAGGCATCGACTGGAAAACCCTAGCATTTGGATCCATGAATTTCAAGTCGATGGAACCATTTTTCTCGAAGGCAGGTGGAATGGCGGAGGTGAAGCAAGGAAAAAACTCTTGTACCTTTTTAGGGTGTGTTTTTGCGTCCGAATATGGTCCATGGAAGGCCAAAAGTTTGTCAGCCACCACGAAAGGGATTACCATTTGTTGTTGCCAGTTTCCCACCATGAATTTATTAGTTGATGGTGGCTGAGGGATAGTTTGTAAACCATTTTCTTCTGTAAGAGTGAAAGGTAAGGGGTTGTTACCAGTAGTGGGAGTGACGAAAGCCATAGCAATGTGAAGAAATGAGAAAAGGAAATGGTAAGTTTCTTGTTTCTGAAGTTGCAGAAGAAATGAGAGCAAAGAAAATGGTGAAATTACAGAAATGCGCGAGCGAAGAAGAAGAAGAGAAATGAAAAATGGTGGAAGACATATTTATAGGGACTAAGGATCAAACAATCATGATGGACAAGTGGCAGTCGACGGCGGCTTCGTGAGCATTCTGTTCCACTGTAGTGGGGAATTTAGTGGGAGTAGCTGAAAAACCATGACCTATGGAGTAGCCAAAATCATGATGGAGTGTTCGGGAGTAGCCAAAATCATGATGGAGTGTTCCTTGGAAATCGTGGCGCAGAAAGTTGTCATCATTGCGCGTGACATCAGTAGTGAACATAAAGTCGAAATTTGGCAAGAGTTAAAACGTCAGTTCTCAGTCGAAAAGAATCTCAGTCGAAGCTGGCCTTTTAAGGGGGCAATTTGTTAGATGGCAAATTTTGACCAGGAAAGATAAGCAATTCGAACAAAAACTTTACATCCCAAACGAAGAGGTCGAAGCAAGTTCGACGCTAGATACTGCATACCAAGATCGAAGAGTTCTCGACGAACCACCCGTCAGAAGAAAGTTGGAGCTATTTAGACGGATAACCTTCCTAATCAAGGTCGACGACAAGCCAAAGGAGCAAATTTCTAACTGACGAAAACGTGGGAAGTTACACAAGAAGTGGGCGTGCATGGGGGGCGCATAGCAGACTGTGGATGATCGACAATAGAATAACAATTATTTTCTATGCCTATTTAAGTAGAGTTTAATTTCAATTTTTAGGGGTCGCATTTTATAACATTGAGAAGAACACACTCAAAGTATCAGTGTTTGAGAGAAATGAGTCAATTATGCGCAAATGTATGCATGCGTCCAATTTACACTTTAAACAATTTATTTCACAAGTCTTATTTTCTATTCATTTTCCTTTCCAATTTTGTCGTATTTTTTCCATTGAATTATCTCAGTAATTTTTTTGTCTACCATTCCAAACCAAAACACTCAAACACTCGTTGCATAACTAACACATAGTCTAAGATTCTTGTAGCCGATCCTACATGTAAACTTGAGGCTAGAGATTATTCGCCTGAAATTTAGATGAACAACCACACTCCTTGTTTTCAATTTAAATTGTTCCCACTATTTAAGTGGAAAATCACATCATTCTCAAGTATCCATTCATTCTCACTCTCACATCACTTTTCATTATCTTACTCACTTAAACTTTAGAGCGTTAATCTTACATGTCAACCCCTTCTCTACTGTATTGGAAGCTCAAGTCCATTATAACAAACACTACTTCACATTTTATCAAACAATTTTGGTTTCACACGCAACAATGAATTCTATAAATATATTTAGTTAAAGTATTAAAAAAAAATTAATCAAAATAAAGAAATAATTCTTGTTTTTTACAAAGAAAAGAAAAATAACAACATATTACAAAAAAAAATCAAAATAAAATGCCCTAGGAAAAAAAAGATTATAAGTCTGTGTCGCCAATGACTCCCTAAAAATTCAATCAACCAAACAACTAAACAAATCGCCAAATCTCATCGTCACCGTTTTTCCAAACTCCCAAGAACGAACAATCTCCCGATTCATCTTCATCGGTTCCATGGTAATTCCTCACTCCTCTTTCATTCAATCTCGCTTTTTTTTTTCTTTTGATTTTCGCTCACGAATTTTAGTCTTGTTTAATAATCAGCGCACATACATACTAGAAATTTAATTTAATATTTATTTGTTATTTTTTTATATAATTATTATTAGGATCTTTGATTATGATGTTGTTTATCTGAATTGAATTGTTTTGATTTGTAATAGGATTTTGAAATTTAGTTGATGTTAATGGCTTAAACCTAGAAAAAGAGGAGTTAAAGGTTGTGTGTAATATGGAGCTTGATTTGAATCAGGAGCCTTTGGATCGTAGTAGTAGTTCAGTAGTTGAATTTGATTCTGTATTGGAAGAACTTGAAGCTGCCGAAGGAAATATTCGGAACCGAATAAGACACCTCGAAGAGATTACTTCGAGAGCGAGGCAGAGTCGGAGGTTGCCGCGGATGAGGATGAATTCGCCGATTCGGATAACAAATTTTACGGGAGCAGCAACGACTGATGATGATGTTGTTCGAGGTGAAGAAGAAAGGGAGGAGCAGAATGATGTTGAAAAAGGTGGAAAAAGAAAGAGTGCTCATTTAGTAGCGAAAGCGTTGGGGGTGGAAGAGATTGATGAGGGTAAAGTGGAGGAGAGTAGTGGGAGTTTTTACGATTGTAATATATGTTTGGATGTTGCGAGAGATCCTGTTTTGACGTGTTGTGGGCATTTGTTTTGTTGGCCGTGTTTTTATCAGTTATCGTATGTTTATTCGAAAGCGAAGGAGTGCCCTGTTTGTAAAGGAGAGGTTACTGAGTCGGGTGTTATTCCGATTTATGGGAATGGTAATGTTGGTGGTGATTGTCAGATGGAAATGAAAGAAGCTGGTTTGAGAGTTCCTCCTCGACCTAAGGCTCCTAGAATTGAGAGTATTAGACAGAAGTTGATAACACAAGGTGCATCTTCTTCGTCTATTGTCCAAAGCATTCGGCGGTTTCATAACCGAATTGGTGGATTTGGAGAACAAGCTCAGTTAGAAAGCCCTAATAACAGAGGTGATAGAAGTAATGGTACGCTCGTTCGTTCTCGCACGCAAACTGATATTAATCAACACGCTGACACTCATCAGGTTTCAAGGTTGCTAGAACAAGGAGCTTCTTCATTTTCATCGCTTTCATCAGCGTTAAACTCTGCAATGGATTCTGCAGAAAGATTAGTTCAGGACCTTGAATCTTATATCCACGGCCACAATATAGGAGGAAGCAGAGAGCTAAACCATCGCGCTCTCGTTGCTATAGACCGCTCAGAGAGCCGTGCTCAAGATGTTGTTAATGTGGCCAATTCTGCCGCTGCAGCAGCTAGGAATGTTGACAATATTGCTTTTAGTGGTTCAGAAATTCAGACAACTGATAGAAACATACATATTAGTCCGTTAGACCCTTCTTCTTCAAACAGTAGAAGAAGAAACGGTGATTCAAGACATGTTTCAAATGAACCCAGAAGAAGAAGACGATTGAGATGATCGTCTTTTATGCAAGGGTAATGCATTATATTTATCATAGGTTCCTCGTTTTGTTGCATGCATAGTACAATTTTTCTGTCATACACAATTTTTCATTCACTGTCTAAAACAAATTTGTTATCTTAGTTATGTGTATATAGCATTTTATTTAACAGATGTAAGGATATTTATCTGTTTGGTTTGGTTGATTTGAGCCTATTTGTCTGTCATGTCCATAAGCTGTTTTTAAATTTAGTTTTCAATGATGGCTAATGAAAGCTGTTTATAACTTATCTAGCATCAATATCCTCTCATGTTTGTTACAATATAGTGTGACATTTGAGTAAGTAAAAGGTTGTTAGTCATCACACTATCCCTTAACATGTTCTTCCTATTAGACCGATCTTCGAATTCTGATTATCTAGTTTTTGAGCTTTTGGTCATTCTTCAAATTGGCCTTTTCTGCTCCTTGAGTACAATTTGTGGAGACTTATGCCTTATCCAGATACTGTTGTTGAATGTATACTTTATACAAGCTTGATAGTATCTAATAGGCAATTTCTTTACGGAAATGATTTTCTGGCGAAGAGTTACCAAATCAAAGACAGAATACAATCAAACAAACTTACATAAATTACACATGACTAGTGTGAAACATGGTCATCAAGCTTTGAGCCTCTCCTTTTTTAAATAACCACACAATAATTCTGGATAACCAACTATGTTCTCACTCGAGGATAGTACCATCTAGAGGTGTATATGAGTTGGGTCAACTCACAAAATCCGTTCAAACCCACCCAACAAATTTCAAAAAAATGGGTTTCACAAAATCCGTTCAAATCCACCCAATTTTTCTTTTTTAAAAACGAGTTGGGTTGGATAATTAGATGGATATAAGTCTACCAACTAACAGATCTATTAAAAAAAGTAATTCATCTTTCCACTTTTATATAAGCATACCACATCCTTAAAAATTCAAAATTCCCCTTCATCTGTTCGGAGATGTTTCAGACACACCAAAATCACAACCAAAATGTATTATTCTGAGATTCATCTCATTTTGAAAAAAATATAATATGGAGATGTATCTCTGTATGATATTTGGTGTATTCAGAGATGCATCTTTGAATTGTCCTCTTTAATTTTTGAAAGTTTTTGAAAGTATTGGAAATACAAAGGAGGAATTATTTCGAAGATGCATCTTTGGAATCTTTTTTGAATCATATTAGAACGACACCGTTGTCCAAGCATTCCATTTTTGTGATGCCAACTTATATTAACGTATAATGAAAGAAAAATGCAGTCATATAAAAGTTAAAAAGAAAGTAAAAATATAAACATTAGTAAAAAAAGTCAAGAAATTTCATATACAACATTTGTTTGAAAATACATGAAAATACAAAAAATAAATAATACATTTCAATATAAATTACTGGATATGTCTAATTCTCAGCCTCCTCAGCCTCCTGTACTGCATAATATTCCACAACTCGAAAATCATGCGCTCCACTAGGGACAACTAGAGACTGCTATCCTTAAAGAGTTATGACTCAAACCTGCTATATCCATATGCGCAACACACCGATATATCGCCATCATGCTCTCTGTCTGCTCATCTCAAACCTCAAGTACTTTCAAATTAGTTGGCCTGTGTAGTTTTCCAAGAGCGTCTGGCGTCATGATAGGGTGTGACACTTGATAGAACCATGTCAAGTAACATTTAACACAAATTCAATGTACATGAGTTGGCTCTTGACTATACTTCTATGGTATCAGGTGACTCTCGAAATCATCTAGTATCACTTGTAGATTTCTACGACGAACGTCTAAAGGAGCGAGCTCATTAGGAGGTCTCAGAATAATCTGTAAGTAGGCAAACTGTTGCATCAATCGCTCCAGCAGATAGGGATACATAAGAGATGTCCCACATCCCAGCTAGCTAAAGTATAAGGAAATGACGTCAAATAGACGTGTCTGACGGTGACCCTTGTATGGGAAGAAGTAAATGTCATCTGGTACCATACGATCAAGATAGACTCTAAATGTCTCGACCACACCATTCCCCCTGTAAGAAACAAAAACAATTGCACGAGGTCAATTCTCTATGTAGTCAAACACAACTTCAAACCTAGTGATGCGAGGGAAGTGAGAGATGATCTATCCCTGAAAATAGTTTGGATACAATATTAATAACAAGTGTAACAAATGAATTATAAAAATATTAGTAACAAGAAATTATCGTAAATACAGTCACTTGCTTTGTCTTCCAAAGACAAGCCTCGCCCAACTTCGAGTACATGCACACCAAACAGATGCCCCTCCAGTTGTACTTGTGAATCACACTCAGGTCTGTAAAGTGCTTGAGGTAGACCACATCGACATATGTTACACTTTTGTCCACAAACATAGACGTGCCAACCAAAAATAAGAGGTAACACCTCAATGCGCAATGCCGATGGTACTCAACCTACACATCATACAGATAATGGAAGGCCTTAAAGTGGGTGTTGAGTTATTTGAATGGTTCATTGAATGGTGGTTTGAAATACACAAGCTAAGACAAGAGGAAGACACTTTTGAGGGTTTTGTATATGTGGATTATGCAGATTGTGTGAACACTATAAATTCCTTGCAAGGTTTTGTGTTTACGTTGTTTGCAATGGCTATAAGTTGGAATGCAAATAAACTATCGATAGTTTTTTTATCTTTTTATCTGCTACTCAAATAGAATATATTTCCTTAGTTAAAAGGGTCATGGAAGTATTATGGATAAGAGGCATGATTGAGGAGTTAAGGATCACTTATGCATGTGTGAAGATACATTTTGATAGTCAAAATGCAATTTACTTAACTAATAATCAAGTGTATCACGAGAGAATAAAACACATTGATATTTGTTTGCACTTTATAATGGATATGATTGAGTTGAAAGAGAATGTGGTCGATAAGATGGCTACAAAATATAATCCAATAGTTCACAAAGTCATTTCCTAGATCAAGGTTCATAAATTGTTTGGACTTGATTAAATTTGTTAATAAGTGATTCAAGTTTGAAGAAAGGAACAAGGTTGATGGTGGATAACCTGGAATCACCATTATTTTTGGGTTAATGTGGAGATTTGTTGAAATATGTCTCAATATTTTATTTTTTTTCAACAAAATTTTAAATTTCAGAAGTGTCTCACCCGTGAGACACGAGATACATGTGTCCTTGATTTTTATACCACTAAATTTATTTTTATTCTGGAGTGGGTCCAAACCTGCTCATCTGTCGGGCAGGCCCAGCCCAATGCTATTTGGGGAAGGTCCAACAAGACCCAAATCCCCCAATGTCGGGCACGGTTCTAGATACACTGGGAAGACATCCTTTCCGTCGGGCAGAACAACACGTCTTTCCCACGTGTTCCCCCCGCGGAGACACGTCATCAGGAAACTACCTACCTCCGAAAGAGCTGGTCAACCCATCTTCCGGAGATCACGAGACAGTTGAATTAGGGCGAAGACCACGTGCTGGTCTTCACTACGCCACGTAAGCCCTAGCAGTCACTTGGATTGGACCTGGCAATCCAGCCCAACACAAGTGATCGTTGGCCCTGCGTTGGGGTCTCACTATAAATACCCTCTTTTACTAGAGGGTCAGGTATTTTATTCTCAACACCTAACTTCTGTATTTTCTCCCACTCTGCTCCTTTACTCACTTAAGCATCAGAGTGTCTTGCAGGTACACCCCCTCCTCCTCCCTACTTCCGGTGAGCAGCTTTCAAATCAGTGGCACGTGGCAGTCGGTAATCTCTTTTGATCAGGTACAATCAGTGGCGCCGTATGTGGGAAACTAAAGCTTCCCCGTTTCTCTGAGCAGGAGAACCAAAGATTTCAACTTCAATTTCCGAGATCTTGACCAGCCCAGGCCACGACAACACTGTCCACAATTCCGCTTTCGCCCCACTCACCAACTGTCGCACCCTAATTTTTGACCATAAGATCCCGCCTCCTCGTTTTCTTGCTTGTTTTAATTTACTTTTTATATGTATGTTTATTGCGACTAACCAGTTTGTGTAGGTATGACAAGTGTGAATGGTATACTTTTCTTCTCTCAATTTAAGCATCTCAGGCCATCTCGGGATCTTTTTTTAAGGGGAGCATTGTCATTGTCAAGACTGATCTACGGTTATAAAGATAAAGCGCAAGAAGCTTTAATTATTAGAGAGTTTAAAGTTGCTGGCTTTGGCCTGATGATACAACCAAGATCCTTCCAACACCCGGATGTCTAAATCACATTTTCATAAAGGTTTCTCTTCGCAAGCCCTACAAGGTCACTAGTTTCCGGTTTAAAGAAAACAAAGATGATTCTATGCATTGGATTTTATGACATTCCAAGTTATTACAATGATATTTGGGTCCATGATACCAAAGACTAAGCTTTGATTAATTAAAGGTTCTCTAAATTCCCAACTCAGTTTTTTAACCAATGACATTATTCTCCAAGAAAACGGGGGCAAGATTATTATGATAATACTATCGTAAGGTTGGAGAACGCAGCCTTTATGTGTTACTTTGCCCCTAAATCTTCTTCAAATATAAGTCTAGTTTGTGATACCAAGCTCTAATTCAATTAAAGTTTCCTTTTCAATTGAGATATCAAGACAATACTCCGCTCACATCCATATCCACGTCATGAACCGTACTGCTGTTGGAAATAGAAAAAACATTAGATTTTACAAAGACACCAAACACATATAACCGGATTCTTTTGGTTAACCATCCATAGAAGATAATAACTTTTAAATTATCCAATAGTCATACGATACTGTACAAAATTAAAGAAGTCATTACCCTTCACAAAGTCATATGTATGATCAAGAATACAAGTACACAACAGGGAAAGTGATACAAGTGGTAACCCCAACAACAACAACATTTGGGCCCATGTAGACTATCCCACAATACGTCAACTGAGTGTTGTTTCCAAGTTGTATCACCACCTCCAGCTACGGAAGGTTATGTTGCGGATCACTCCATGC